CAGGAGACTGGCATTATTATTAGTCCAGTTTTACAATAAAGAAGCAAAGGCTCAGGAAGCTAAAAACCACTTTCATTGCCTGCACTTCATTGTCACTTCTGCCAGTGACACTTGAGCAAGCCAAACAAGATGTCCTTATCCTCAGACCTCCTCCATCACATCCTTGCAGGTAGGTAGGGGAAAATGCAGGACTTAATGCATGCCTGCCTTTGCCTCTAACTGGCTGTTGCCCTTGGTAAGTCACTTGGCCTCTGTGTCGGTTTGCTCATCTGTAAGCAGTAGATGAGATAATACTGGCAGCCCCATCTCACAGATCAGAAAACTGAGCCTTAGATGGGTTACAGCATGCTGCATCATGCAGAGCCATAGTTTCAATTCCATGTGTTTACACCTGAGTCCAGCTTTCCAGCACAAATCTAGATTTGCACCAGACAGGAAGCCTATATATAAGACCTAATGTTCAAAGTGCACCTTTTCAGAGTTCTGTACTTGTTAACTCTTATTTACAAATAATTGAGTTGTAAAGCATGTCCTTTTAGGGGTCAGTTGGCTTGGTTTTTAGTCCATTCCTGCCAGCTGGCTTGATTCATAATCTAGGGCTCTCTCAGCCTCGCTTTCTTTCATGTGTAAAATGAGACTAACCATAATACTTCACTTATAGTGAGGGTAAAATGAGTTAAAACAGGTGAAGTGTCCAAACTGTTTGTCAGGGGTTGGGGGAGAAGGAACACAGGTATGCAAGCCATTATTTCATTATTCTGAGGGGTCCTAACCTGTCTGTAGAGTCCACATTGCTAGAGGGCGCTGGATTCATCCAGGGTCACTCAGCAGGGCAGGACAGGGCAGTGCCTGGTGAGGAAGTGGTTCCAATTCAAGCCCGGGGCTCATCTCTCTGCCCCCAGGAAGCCAGAGAAGGAACAGCACCAAAGGGTAAGGGAAGCAACATCTGGCAAAGAGGAAGGGGCCACCTCCTTCCTCAGCAGGCCTCACCCTCCCCACAGAATCTGAGCCACCAGCCCTGGCTCAGTGGGAAACTGCAAGGAGCCACTCCAGAATCTGCCTGGGTGGCCAGGCTGCAGATGCCCACTGAGGGCACTGGCCTGGCACTGAGGGGCAAGGAAGGTGGCTGTGCACACCCACCTACATCACAGCCCTGCCACTTGAGAGAACATTGTGCAATAGCTGGAAACACGACAGAACATGAATTCACAACCCAACACTAAACCAGTTTCTTGAATTAGGAAACATGAGTCACAATTCTAATTGTTCTGCAAAAGAAAAAAAAAGACAAAAAAAAAAGAAAAACAAACAAAAAAAAGACAAAAGAAAAAAAAACAAAAAACTAATTGTTCTGCAACAGCATAAAAACAAAACAAAAAAAATCACAGAATTGCCATCAGAATGGAAGTGGGAAAACAAAGCTACCCCCTTAGGCATGGCCCACCACCCCTCCTCTCCATGCTTTTTTCTCAAGGTGCATCCCTCCAGCAGTGATGTACATAAGGACAGCCGCTGAGCTGCAATTGTTCTGCAGCCCAGTCCACTATGATCCAGCCCCGAGGGCTGAGGGAACCTGTGCCAGATTCCTGCAGAAGCAGCTGTGAGAGCCACAGTGCCATCATGTGGGCATCCCTGCTTACAGACTCTGCTGCCCACCCACCAACAGCAGCACCCTCCAGGGCTTGAGCGTGGGAACTTGTCCTCAGATGGCCTACATTGCCTGGCTGGTTGGGGTGAGGAGGGTGGCTGGGAAGGGAGGCAGCAGTCTAGAACCAAGAGAGATCCTTCAAGGGACAGCATAGCACCCTTCAAATTCTACCTCCTACTCTCTGGATGACCTGAACAAGCTACTTGAGCCTTAGTGTCCTCTGTAAGACAGAGGCTGTGACAGTTCCAGCCTCACAGACTGCAGGATTCAGTGAGTTAAAACACACAGGGTGCTGAGAATGGTAATGCCTCAATATATCAAGTCCTTCGGCCATGATCCACGGTAAGAAAAACATTTAATATCACAACCTAGGTCATGCAGATGTATCAACATACAGCAATAAATGTCTCCCAAAGCATCACTGATAACACACAGTACACTCTGACACTGTCAACTCTATTCAATTTAAAAAAGAAAACTGTCACAACCCACTGAATTGACTTCACAAACCCATCCATGACTCATATCCTGCAGTTTGAAAGGCAATGCAAAAAGCTTAGTCCTGGCTAACTTCCTTTGCTGCAAACCTGGGCCCCAGCCTGCTTGGTGATTGAGCCAGACCTAAGTTAGGTCAGCTCTGGTTAGATACAGGAGCCACCATATTGCTGAGGGGGCCCTTGGGAGCCTCTCACCAAGTTGTTGAGCAACAACTGCAAATGCAAGGACAGGAGAGACATTGCAGCAAACTAGAACCAGGTGATTTCCCCAGGCTTGAGTGAAGATTGAATGGAGGTGCCAATAAGAGCCCTGCCAATTTACCAGCTTCCCTTTTTTGTTTGTTTTTGTTTTTAGTACTCAGTCTGCTCTGTGTGTCTCCTGGACTCCCTCCCTGCAGGAGGGAAGGAGACCCCACAAATCATTAAGAACTGACACCATGCCAGCCCCTGTATTCTGTTCTTCCCACAGTCTCATGAGTCCCTCTATGGGGAAGGCATAGTCTTCACATTTCTCAGGTGGGAAGCCTGAGGCCGATCAAGGTAAAGTGAGTATAGAATAATGATAAATAAGACTGGCTCTGCTTTGGAACTCAGGATGTGGATTAGGCAAGGAAATGGGCTCTCTAGAAACTGTGGTGGAAATGCTGAATAGGATGGATAGGTGGCTGGGGAAGAGAAAGTGCTAGAGACAAAAAAAAAAAAAAATGGATCTGAAAATGGGCAGGGCAGGAGCAGTTCTGCCAGATGGCATCTGGCATTAACAGGAACAGCTGTAGCGAGAGAGGCTGACCTCAGGAGAAGCCACGGGACCTGGGGGCGTCCCAACATGGGCTCTCCCCCTGGGTGAGGACAAGAGGGCAGAGAGCAGGGAGAGTCCATACCTGCGAGACTGACCTGGCCTCCAGCCTTCAGTGGATAAGACATTCTACTGAGTGGAAGACCAACATGGCAGCTACTGGCCAGGGCCAGTGAACTTGTCCCAAAGATTCCCTCATCCTGTCCTGGAGGAAGAGCCCTGCACAGCACTGTGGACCTGCCAATTGGACAGAGGACAAATAACAGAACGATGTGGCCAGGATGAACAGGAAGAAAACACAGCATTGATTTTAGAAGGGTACAGTGGGGCCAGGTAATGTGATGGGAAAAATGTAATTTGGAGTTCAAAGATGTGATTGGGTCACTGCTCACCACTCATGGGATCATATAATCACTGAGCACCTCCTATGACACGTTAAGCCCTGAGGTAAGCAATGGAGGGACAGACGGATCCTCGGGCACTGACAGTAGAGTGAGGAGTGAGAAAGAAAGAAACAGACAATAACAATGACTAGTGCAGAAGGACCGGGATCCTAATCTGGGATCTAGTAGCTCAAATGGAGAGCACTGGGAAAGCCTCCCAGACACTTGAGCAACTGCAGGAACAGGAGACATTTCAGCAAACTACAACCAAGTGATTCCCCCTGGCTTGCGTGCAGGCTGAATGGAGGTGGCAATAAGAGCCCTGCCAATTTACCAGCTTCCTTTTTATTTTTAATTTGTTTTTAGTAATGAGGTTTGAACTCAGGGACTTGCACTTGCTAGGCAAGCACTCTTACCACTTAAACCACACCTCCAGCCCTTTTTGCTTTAGTTATTTTTTAGACAGGGTCTCCTGCTGCTTTTGCCCTGGCGAGCCTCAGACTGCTATCCTTCTACCTAGGCCTCCCACGGAGCTGAAATTACAGAAATGTACCACCACACCTAGGTTGTTCTTTGAGATAGGGTCTCACTTTTTGTTGGAGCTGTCCTCGAACCACAATCCTCCCATCTCTGCACCCCAAGTAGCTGGGATTACAGGTGCAAGTCACCACACCCAGCCTTTCTGCTTGACTTAGAAAAGTCACATAACCTTCTCTGACTATAAACCAATTCCTAAGATATTCATAGATACTGTTTAGTAAGCATTTATCAAACATCTTGCGTGCCAGGCACTGTACCAGGTTGGCGCTGAGCATATGGAGAAGTCCAGCTACAACCCTCTAATTTGTTTGAAAGAGTTACAAAGTTCTAGACAGTGGAAGCAATTAATGGTGCTCACAGAAGATGTAATGAGCAAATGTTCTACTATGCACTGACAGGGGAAAAAATCTTAAACAAAGGCGTGAAAGAAGAAAAGGACACCAATGTGTTCATAGAAGTGTGAGGCTGTGAATGGCTGGAATATAAGGTACAGTGGACAGCGACAGGTAGGCATGACACCAGCCTGGGATGCACAGGTACCTAGACCTCTGTTACTTTTTGACAGTGGATGGGAACGCAGGGAAGGACCCAGGTCCAGGCAGGTTCACAGGTGACTGCACTTAACCTGGCGCCTCAAGCTTGAAGGGTCTGGAAGCGCGACCAGCCCACCCCTTCTTGTCACATAATGGGAGACCGAAGCCCTCAGGGCCAGTGACTTGCCCGCAACCTGGAGGTCAGTTATGTATGAGTGGGCCCTTGAATCCCTGGTAGGAAATCCTTTCCTTTAAAGAGCACTAAGCGTTTGGGGAACTTAGCTTCCTCATTTGTAAAATGGTGAGAACACAACCTTCCAGCACCTCTGGAAGTCTTTGGGCGACGAGGTCGAGGGGTGGAAGGTGGAGTGGGAATTGCCCGTAGTGTTGTAAAACAATAGGAGTCTGCAAGCTCCAGAACCACGCCTTCCGCCCGCCCAATTCTCCCTTAAATACCCTCCCTCACTAGCCCCCCCACCTCTTCCCACCTTCTCTTCCGGTCTCTTTCCCAGGGCCCGCCCGCCTCTTCCGGGTCCTACCGCGGATCCGCCCCCTCAGCTGTGCCTTCTTCCGCTATCCCTATTGGCGGAAAAATGCCCGCCTTCCAATCTGTTTCCGGAAGTGACGCTAAAAGGCCCTCCCCGAGGAAGTGACGTCGGGCGTGCCCTTGACGGGCGGGGAGGGCTGGGCTGTGCGTCCCTCTGCTCGCGCTGCAGGGAGGTAGGAGGCCGTGGGGCCGGTTCGAGATGCTTTGGAGGCCGAGGCACGCCGCGGGCCGCGCTCCTGCGCAGGCTGGTGACAAGCGGGCGGAGGCCTGGGGCGGGAGGACCTGGCCCTCGGGAGAGCCGGATTTCCCGGTGGCGTCCGATTTTCCCAGTTCTCTCTACATACGTCCTTCCTTTTGGGTTCCCTCCACACATATTTCCCTTCTTTCTTGGTTCCCCCACATTCCTGTTCCTGTGGCTGTTAGTTTCTTCTTGAATAGTTGCGGTCCCCCTTTGCTAATCCTTCAACAGCTCCCTTTTTCCTGCCTTAATTTCCTTTTAAAATGCTTTTTAAAAGAACAGTCGGGACTTTGCAGACGGCCTTGGGTTCCAATGTTGCCTATTATTTACAGTTGGGTTACTTTGGGCATGTCACTTAATCTACCTGAGCCTGGTATTTCTTACCTGTAATATGGGCACCGTTATAGCACTTTCCTCACAGTTGATCTGGGACAACCAGCCATGTATGTGATGCTCTTGCGCCTGCGCAGGTGCTCTGCAAATGTTGGTTCCTCTTCCCATCATTCTTTTGTAATTCCACCTAAACCTTCATTTCTTTTTATTGTTAACCCAACTTTCCTGTGCTGATTGTTTACCTTCTTCCCTGTGATTCTCAGTCCTCTACTCTAGATATTACAGTATTTCCTTGCATTTTGTTTCTAGTTCTGCATGTTCTTGAGTCTCCAGTACTCCCAAATCCATTCGTTTTTCTAGTATCTTGACTTCCTGGTGTGTGCTGCAGCTCTTCCTGCCTCCTTCCCTTACAGATGGCTCAGCGACTTCTTCTGAGGAGGTTCCTGACTTCAGTCATCTCTGGGAAGCACCCTCAGGCTCGGTGGGCACCTCTCACCTCCAAGGCCCTGCAGACCGCACAGTGCAGGCCTGGTGACCTGACAGTAACACCCAGCCCAGCCCGAACAATATACACCACCAGAGTCTGTTCAACCACCTTCAACATCCAGGATGGGCCTGACTTTCAAGATCGAGTTGTTAACAGTGAGACACCAGTGGTTGTGGATTTCCATGCACAGTGAGTACAGGGAATAAGTGAAGAATTAGAGTCTTACCTGTTCAAGGATTTTTGAGCACCTGATATGTTCCAGAATCATGTTCAAGACTTCTTGTACATAGATTTATTACAAAAACTAGTAAGACCCAGTACCTGCTTTTAAGAAGCATGCAGTCTGGTAAGGAGCAGACAAGTAAATAATCCTCAAAGCTCACGCCTGTGATCCTAGATACTTGGAGACAGATCAGGAGGATCACAATTCAAAGCCAGCCCTGGCAAATAGTTCATGAGACCCTATTTCAAAAATACCCAACAGAAAAAACGGCTGACTGAGTGGAACAAATGGTAGAGTGCCTGCCAAAATGTTAACTGTGATTAGTGCTGGACAGCACCTGAATTCTGTATCTCATTGCCTGAAAAGCTCAAGAGTCTTCTTCAACATGGACCAAAGTCAGAAAAATACGACCATAGCATCACCTGACTTTGCATGTAGACCAGTTCCTGGCCCTATAGTTAAGTTAATTTTATTTTAACATCTCAGTGCTAAAGTTGTGTAAAGGACTGGCAAGAAATTATCAGTGCCACCATAGCTGTGCCCAGGCATGCAGGGCATGGGTGGGAGTTATGTCTTTTTGGTGTCATAGGGGTTTTCTTTTTGTTGTTTTTTTTTTTTTTTTTCCAAGAGATATGTAAATGCCTATAGTCTGATTTTTTAGCCTGGCCTTCTTTCTATACCATTGAGACCTGGCTAGACCCTCGGTACAAAAACAGACCCATTAGAATGAGGCATCCTGGCAGGAGCCAGGGTCATCTAATAGAAACTAGGAGGTTTTCTGAACAAGTCTCTCACAGATTGTTTTGCTTTCTTTATGAAAAAGAAAGACCATTTGAGAAGGTCTTGCAGACTGGGATTTTAGATGTTGTTGTGGGCTCGCTAATTGGTAATTTCTGAATGGAAATTTTTTAGAATGTGAAGAAATTTGAGACAGGGTCTTACTATGTAACCCAGACTGGCCTAGAACTCAGTATGTAGCCTAGGCTGGCCTCAAACTTGCGATCCTCCTGCCTCAACCTTCCAAGTGCTGGGATTACAGGTGTGCACCATTGTGCCCAGCTTCCACTATGCTCTTTACCAGCTCTGTCATCTGCACAAGTTTCCTAACTTGTACAGGCCTCAGTTTCTTTGGAAGGTGCTTTCTCCTAAGAGTTCTGCATAGTCAGAGCTGAGAAGGTGCTGGCACAGTGACTAGCACGTTGCAGACTCTCCTGGCTATTGCTTTTCCTTCCTTTAGTTCCTAAGCTGCAGAGTCCATGTGGGCCATGCGGAGGTTCTCAGGACACAGTGGATGGAGCAGTGAGTGATCTCAGGATTGACTATATGTGGCCTTTCTCCCTGCCAAGGTGGTGTGGTCCCTGCAAGATCCTGGGGCCAAGGTTAGAGAAGATGGTGGCCAAGCAACGCGGGAAGGTGGTGATGGCCAAGGTGGATATTGACGACCATACAGACCTTGCCATCGAGTATGAGGTATGGGTCCACGAGGCTGCCAAAGGCATCCAGTGTGTGTGGGGGGGTGTTGTGGGGACCACCAGGCGGCCAGGAAGAGGTGTTTTTTTAGAGCACTTTGGAGCTTGCAGCACTGTGCAGATGTGACTATTGGCCTCTGAGCCCATTGTCTTACCACCTTTAGGAGGTGATTTGGATGACCTAAAGCACCAGGTCATTCTTTTAGCATGGGGCACCAAAGCATTCTTTCCTTCATCCATCCATGTGCACATGGACTCAGCAGTTGTCCAGGAGTCAAGCGCCATAAGGGGATCCTTGACCCCAAGCATCTCTTGGTTTTTTTTTTGGTGGGACTGGGATTTCAACTCAGGACTTTACACTTGCAAAGCAGGCACTATACCACTTAAGCCACACCTCCGGTCCATTTTACTCTGGTTATTTTGGAGATGGGAGTCTTGCAAGTTATTTGCCAAGGCTGGCCTCAAACAGTGATCCTTCTTATCTCAGACTCTTAGGTAGTTAGGATTACAGACCACCTGAGCCACCCAGCCCCAAGCATCTCTTTGTCTGTTTTGAGAGAGAACAGTGGGTAGAAGACCATTTCACTGTAGGGTGAAAAGCGCTGAGACAGAGGCACTGAAGGAAGAAGGAGGGGCTGTTGGGGGAACAATGGGGCCAGGGAAGGCTTCACATTAAAGACCTTCTGGGCTAAAGCTGTAAAGATGCTCAGAGAAAAAGGAAGGACTGAGAACAGCATGTACAAAGAGGAGAAGTAGTGTGATGTAGTTGATGTGCTTGTGTAATCATTCAGTGGATACTGAGAGTCCCTCAAATGCCAGGTACTATAACCTGGTGCTAGAATGTGGTGTGCAGAACACTGACAGATCCTGCCTTCAGACAACGGACATTCTAGAATTTTAGTCTGAGTCAGCCAACTTTTTCTTTAAAGGAGCAGATGGTAAAAATTTGAGGCTTTGCAGGGCAGTGGGCTCTGCTTTTCTTGTAGCTCTTTTGTTTACAAAGAAAAGGGCATGGGGACATGCTCAAGTGCTAGTGTGCTTGCATGGGAAAGGCCCTAGGTTCAATCCCTAGCACTACCACCACAACAACAAAAAGGCCTGGCATGTTCCAATAAGACACTGTTTACAGAAACAAGCAGCAGGCTGGACTTGGCCTGTGAGGCCATAGTACACTGACCCCTATTTTATGTACAGCTTGAGTGTCACTTTGATGCTCAAAAAGTTTTGGATTTTGGAGCATTTCAGATTTGGAATTTTTGGGTTAGGGATACCCAGCCAATAAAGTCTATATAAATATTCCCAAATTCAAAAAATCTGAAACACTTCAGGTCACAAGCATTATGGATAAGGGCTGCCTGGCTTATAGTCAGTGCTATGGAGAGAAGTAAAGCAGAAAGGGGGTGGGAGGATAAAAGGGAATCTTGGGAAGGCCTTACTGAGAACCTGACATATGAGCAGAGACCTGAAGGGAGCAAGGAGTGAAGCTTGCAGGTCTTTGAAAGTGCTCCCAGGCAGAGCAAACATCAAACTTCAAAGCCATGAGCTGGGTGAACCTGGGTTACTCACAGACCAGCAGATCATGTGCCTAGAGCAGGAGATGCTCTGGGAGGTGGGGCATCCTCTGGGCTTGGAGACCACATCAATTGGAGAAAGGGAGAGGCCCTCAGTGGCTGTGTGATAAGTAAAAGGATCAAGCCAGGAGTGGGAGGACAAGCAGCTGGGGAAGCAAACACCAGCCAAATTGGAGTGAGGGAATGGCCTTTGGACAGCCATGCTTGGACAGGTGAGCCAAGGTCACCTGGCAGCCTGTGAGCCAACTCTGGCTCACAGACACATTTGGTCTGGCCCTCATCGTCTTTAAAGAAAGAAGAAAATGGACTGATACTTAAAACTCTTCGCATACCTGTAATCCAAGCACTAGGGAAACTGATGGGAAGTTTGACATCAGCCTGGGCTGCACAGTGAGATCCTATCTCAAACAAAACAAACAAAGTTTGTGCAAAAATCCGTATTTCTGGGTTTGTTGAATAGCTTTATGTGGCTGAAGTGAGCCCTCCCCCTCCCCTTACCTCTCCCCCACCCTTTCCAGCAGCAAGTGCTTGAAAGAGAGGCCTCTTTCTTCCACATATCTTGGAGGCTCAGGATTGACTCCTACCAAATCAGCCAAAGCAGAGGTACCAGACTTCCAGCCAGTGCTCTGGGGCAGGAAATGGGGAGAGGGTAGCAGGATAAGAACATGAAGAGTGGTGATCACTCAAAGAAAATCAGGCTGCCTGGGCCAGAACACAGAAAGTAAATGCTGGGCAGACAGAGCCATTGGTCACCGCTGCCGCTGGCTTCTGATGCAAGGTTGTCCTTGGACTAGATAGCCCAGGGTGGGGCTATTCATATGAGCATACCAGGAAGGATGAACCCTGTTTTTTAAGAAGCTCTCTCACTGATTGCTTGGTCAAATGGAGGCTTTTGTCCCTTGAGACGCCCCTGACTCTACCCTGCTTGACACCCCACATCTCACAGCAGCTGCAAGCTGCCTCCCTTTGCTCAGACAGCAATGTGCTGGCTTGACCCTGCAAGCCCCTTGCTCCCCCCTGCCTCTTTCCCAGCTGCTGGGACCTTACCAGCACCTAATGGGGAGAGCATGGACCCTTGAGCTTGTCTGCTGGCTGTGGCTACTCAGCCTCACACTTAGCGGTGTGATCCTTCTGTTTCTCATCTTGTAGAGCAAGGGCCCTTTATGAGATGCTGGAAAATACAGCCAGTTGAGAGCAAGGGATGACAGCCTAACCACTTGGGGAAGCTTGTCTGAGGTTTCTATGTCATTTTTTTTCCTGGTTAATATTCCATTTACTATGATAGACAATTCATTGACTCCCACTTCTACCTATTTTGATAGTATTCCAAATCAGTGATTCTCAAACATGAATATGACCTTGATTTATTTTATTTTATTTTTTGAGATAGGATCTCACTTTATAGCCTGGGCTGACCTCAAACTTGTGATCCTCCTGTCTCTGCCTCCCCAAGGCTGGGATTACAGGGGTGTAGCACCGCAACTGGCTGATCTAGGATATTTTTTGATGTTGTCTTGCGGGGGGTATTGTGACATTTACTAAAGTTCCTACAAAATATCAGTTGAGTTCTCCCCCTCCATCATTCTCCTTTGTCCCCCTTCCCTATTCTTGGGATAGTTTCAACAGTCTCTTTTTTCCATATTCATACGTGAGTACATAGTATTTCCGCCATATTCACCCTCCTTCACTCTTTCCTTACAGCTTTCCCCTTCTCGCTGGTACCAACCCCCATATAAGAGCTGTTTTGTCTTCCTGTTGTCTATTTTTTGGGGAAAAAAAATAACTTTGTTTAAGATAGCCATACAGGGCGTTTCATTGTGACAGTTCCAGTTATATATGTATTATAACTCAAATTGGTTCATCCCTCTATGGGATATTCTTTAAAAAGTAGAATCTGGGCTGAGAGTGGAACTCAGTGGTAGTGTTCCTAGTGTGCCTGAGGCCCTGGGTTCCATCCCTAGCACTGCCCGAAAAAAGGCAGGTTCTGATAACAAAGTTCCAGGAAGGACCCGAGATTCTGCAGATCTAATAAGCTCCCAGGCCATGCCAGTGCTGGGCTTCCCAAACCAGGTACAGAGAAGCAGACCCTGGGACAAGTTCTGCCCATTTCATCTGCTGTTCTCAGCACAGGTTGCTTGTCATGGAGATTCACTCAACAAACTATAGTGACATATCCATTATTACATGCAAAAGATTCCAGCTGTGCTCTTTCCTCTCTGCACCATAACTCATGGCAGCCACTTGTCCTTTTTTTTTTTAACCCTTTGGCAGTACGGGGGTTTGAACTATTCAGGGATTCGTGCATGCTAGGCAGGCGCTTTACCACTTGAGCCATGCCTCCAGTCCTTTTTTCTTTAGTTATTTTTCAGATAGGGTCTTGCGGTTTTGCCCAAGCTGGCCTAAACCACAGTCCTCTCCTACCTGTGTCTCCCATGTAGCTGGAATTACAGGAATGCACCCCCATGCATGGCTTAATTTTTGTTGAGATGGGGTCTTGCTAACTTTCTTGCCAAGACTGACCTCAAACCACAATCTTCCCATCTCTGCAGGGATTACAGACATATACCACCACACCTGACAAGATTTTTTTATTTTGGTACTGGGGCTTGAGCTCAGGGCCTTCACCTTGAGCCACTCCACCAGCCCTTTTTGTGATGGGTATTTTCAAGATAGGGTCTTGCAAGCTGTTTGCCTGGGCTAGATTCGAACCATGATCCTACTGCTCTCTACCTCCTGAGTAGGATTACAGGAATGAGCTACCAGTGACTGGCCTAAGACTTTAATTTTTTAGAGCAGTTTTAGGTTTGTAGCAAGATTGAAAAAACAGCTTGGCTGTGGTGGCTTGTGCCTGTAATTCTGGCTACTTGGGAGGTAGAGGTCATGAGGATCAAGGTTCTGGACTAGCCCAGGCCCAGTTCACAAGACCCCATCTAAAATAACCAAAGCAAAGAGGACTGGCAGTGTGACTCAAGCAGTAGAACACCTGCTTTGCAAGTGTGAAGCCCTGAGTTGAAATCCCAGGCTCACCAAAAAAAAAAAAAATTCTGACTGGAGTGTAGGTCAGTGGTAGTGATTATCTAGCACGAGTGACATCCTGGAATTGATCCCCTGCACCATGCATAAAAACTTTCTGTCCCCAGCCCCTGGCAGCCACCAGTCTTTTTGCTCTCCATAGTGTTGTCTTTTCCAGAACATCATATGGTTGAGTTTACTTTTCTTGACAGTCGTTCTTCTAAGAACTATTGTATCCAAAAACTTCTACGAAACATCTGGCAGTTCTCATTTGAAGCATGAAATCCTTATTACTGCTTCCCTGCATCTTTACATTGCTGGAACTCAGTGTTTATCTCTGATTCTTCACCTCGGTCAGCAGCAGAGCATAAGTGGTCGTCATTGCAAACTCAAGACCTTATTTAAAATTCCAGCTCTGCCACTGAACTTGCTGTGTCATGTTGGAACAGCCACGCAGCCTTTGAGCCTCAGTCTTCTTGTCTCTAAAATGACCCTACTTGGGAACTGGGAGTGTGGCTCAATGGTAGAGCGCTTGCCTAGCATGCACAAGGGCCTGGGTTCCATCCCCGGCACTGCAAAAGCATAAAAATAAAATTACCCAATCTAGAGGCAGAAAGGTATGAACCAGCTTATATGAGTGCCTGGCATCATCCCTCACATGAAAAAGCCCCTGCGGGGGCTGGTGGTGTGGTTTAGGTGGTAGAGCGCCTGCCTATCAGCACAAGGCACAGAGCTCAGTCCCCATACACAGGCATCCTTCATCCTTTGGTAAGCCCTTAGCTGAGCCACCAAGTGGGGTGAGGCAGAAGTTCTGACAGGGACCTTGAGCTCAGTGGCTTTGTGGGGTTGCTGATCCATGGGAGAGACACATGCAGACACTCCTGCCCCGAGATCTCCAAGGTTAGCTGGCCCCAGGCGGCCTCACCAAGCAAGTGAACATACAGCATGTCTCCGCACATTGCTCCATCAGCCTCTTTGTTCCCATGGCCTTATCAAAACTGAGAAATACAGTTCTTTTTTGTTGTTTTTGAGATGGGGGTCTCACTAAGTAGTTCAGGCTGACCTCCAACTCAGAATCCTCCTGCCTCTGCCTCCCAAGTATTGCCATTACAGGTGTGTGTCACCACACCCAGGAGAAACCAAGTTTTTGCTGCCTCTGCCTCTCACCATTCCAGAAGGGTGTGCTAAGGACCTGTGCACTTGACTGACAGCAGTGTTCACAGGCACCAGTCCCTCCTGATTCAGAAGTCAGACCAAGGAGCTGGAAAGCCCAGATACTGGAAACACAGCTTCCAGCAAACCTTAGCGTGGGGCGGGGGGTGGGGTGTGTGGGGGGGGTGTGGTGTGTGTGTGTGTGTGGTGTGTGTGTGTTCTCAAGCTCCAACTTCAGAGAATGCCTTTGATCAGTAGTGTGTGTGTGTGTGGTGTGTGTGGTGTGTGTGTGTTCTCAAGCTCCAACTTCAGAGAATGCCTTTGATCAGTAGTACCTGGACCTCAGTTGTCACGAAAACATTCACAGTGGGTCTGCTGCACACCCAGCAACAGTGGGGCCCATGCGTGAGCCATGGGCACTGAGGGCTTGCACACGAGGTAGTGGCAGGGCTGCACTGGAGTTTCACAGGAAAGCTTAGTCCGCTCTGAGCACCTCAGTGAACATAGAGCCCTGCTTTGAGGATGCATGAAAAAGGCCTTTTTAAAATATTTTTCCAGGTGTGAGGATGGGACCCCAAGCTTCACACATGCTAGGCAAGTGCTCTACCACCAAGATATACCCTCCAGCCCAAGGCCACATCTTAAACAGTGGCATAAAATGTTTGTTTTAGAGACAAGACGGGATGATGTCCAAGTCAAAGTTGAAAGCCATGGTTGAGCTGGGAGCTCAGTTGAGTTGCCAGCTTTGAGGCTCTGCAACTCCTCAGTAAGCCACAAGAGGGCGCAGAAGAACACAGATGAGCCTTGTACAGGGCCTTCGGCCCTTAGTGCCACCACCTGTGCCAGAGTCTATGCTGAGGGCAGGAGCCAGCAGAGAGGCTGTGAGCAGGGACATTTGCAGTCTGCCTGTTCCTGGCCCATCTTCATCGCCACTGAAAAGTGTCAGCTGTCACCATGTCAGCCCCAGCACTTTCCTTGAAAGGGCCAGAGGTGCTAACAAGAGCAGGGTCTGTCGTCCTGCCTACTGTGTTTATTCTCAAAGTGCCCATTAGGAGTGAGGGCAGGGCCGCCCTGTTGTGCACTTTCTTCGTGCACAGGTTTTGAACTCTGATCTAAGTCTAGCTTCCCAAGATGCCTCACAGCCAGTTCAGCACTCAGGCTGTGTAAAGACCTGGTGGCTTTGTATAAATTGCCTTGTTACTTTGTAGTTAACTAATGTGTATGGAAAACTGCTTACACAGTTTTCTCAAGTGTCCTTAGATGCCAGGCAGGGAGCCCAGGCAACAGGGACCGCACGATGCCGCTGGGCCTGTCCTTGTCTGCATTCCATGTAATCTGTGCAGATCCCCGAGGGCGCTGGAGCCAGTGCCTCACAGACCAGGAATGCTGCCTTTCTCATCTGCCTCCAGTCCTCATAAATAAGCCTCAGATCCTGTACAGCTGTACCCTCCTCCCACACCATCCAGTAGGAGGACTTAACGTTCTGGGCCCTATTAACCATTCATAACAACTCATTGAAGTGGCCCTTATGGGCTCTGTGTTAGGCTTTTCCCTCACGCTCTCTGTGCCACCATTTGCTGATTGCCCACTGTGTGCCGGGTTCTTACACTCATTTCCAGGCCCTGTGCTGAGACTTGACTTGCAGTGTTTTGTGTGGCTTCCTACACTCCTCCAGAAGTTCTGCTAAGTGTCTCCACTTGCTGGAGTGACGAAGTGGCTGACCAAGTTAGTGGGTAGGAGCTAGAGCTGGTCAGCCAGCCCCAGAGCCTGAGCCCCCAGCACTCAGCTTTCTGTGACAATCTTTAGTCCCTGTCCCAAATGCCCAAGGTGCACAGGCTCATCTCTGGCACATGGAGGACTGTGAGGCTCCGAAAGCAGCAGACGTGGCTGGTGAGTGGCAGAGCTGGGATTGGGGCTCCCCGGCCTCACCCCAGCACTGATCTGCAGCTGCACAGGGTATTTTCATCTGTTCCAGCCAAACCACTGGGCCAGTGAGTCAGGCATGTGGTTGGGAAGAAGGGTTCTGCTGGGAGCTGCAGTGGAAGAATTTTCTCCAGCGGGTAGGCCTCTGGGCCCTGCACCAAGGGAAGAGCCCCTCTCCTTTGGCCCCAACAGTGGTCTCAGTAGTTGCTGACCTGGATAAGCCCAGCCTTCACAGCGTCTTGGGGATGGCACTGAAAACATGTTTACTTCTCAGTGACTCCGGGACCCCTTTGTCTTCCTCACCCAGGTGTCAGCTGTGCCTACTGTGCTGGCCATCAAGAATGGGGACGTGGTGGACAAATTTGTGGGCATCAAAGATGAAGATCAGCTGGAGGCCTTCCTGAAGAAGCTGATTGGCTGACAGGCAGGGTAGAGTCCTGACTGCCCTTGCCCGCCTGGGACCCTGTCCTGGGAAGGAGCCCAGTAGAACGCAACCCTTGTGTGCCAGCCCTACCTGCCCCTCCCTTCTGTCTGGCCCCTGTGGGCCTGTGCTTTGGAAACCAGCCTCCGAACATGGGACCCACCAGTGCTTCTAAGCTGGCCAACTGCCAGGGTGACCAGCAAAGGAGGGGTGAGCTGCCGTTCTGGAGATGCCGTCTTCCTGCCTATCTCCTTTTGTGTGCTCCCTCTAGGGCCTTTTGCTGTTCTCTAGGAAGCTAGAGAGAGCCCAAGGAGCAGACTGTCCACATGGGACAGCTCAGTCCCCACCTCCTGGTCCCTTTTGATCTGAATGCTCAGATAGGCTCATCTGCCTCCTGCATTTTCCTTTCCTGCTGCTGTTTTGTGTAAAGAAAAGGAAGGAAACAAGAAGCCAAACAAATGAGAGGAAGTACAATTCTCTCCTTTTTTGTAGGTTTGTAATAAAGAACTTCATGTGACCCCTTCTACTCCTGCTATGGAGAGCAGACCCTGTTCCCCACACTAACCCCCTGCGGCCACCTGTCCCCACTTCCTAGGTGCGAGGGCAGAGGGTAGCATGGGGCTGTGGGCTCTCTCGCTGACCAACCCATTGGTTCTCAGAGCAGGAGGCACAACTGTGAACAAACCAGACCAATAAAACCAGGGTTTGTACTGTCGACAGCTTCCATTTTGTGGGTGCTGAAGGTCCTGAGTGGGTCCCTTCCCCAGGCTCCAGTGCTGTCCTGTTTCATCTTCCTCCTCTGACCAGCTCTTAATGTGTTATCCACAATGTGCATCATACATCCCATACCCTCAGGATGTTGGCTCTGTTACCCAGACACACGGACATGGGGCACAAATGGGTTTCCACCCAGATGTGGTCACCTCTGCAACCTGGACCTTTATCATCCATCCCCTTCACCCTTGTAGGGCCTCTTTCTCCTTAGACTGGCTCCTGGCCCCTGACAGAATCGCCCCTTCTTCCTGCATATCCACACAAAATCCTGGGTCTTGGGACCAGACTTCACCTAACTTCTGGCATAGGAGAGTGTGCCAGATATGCTAGCCAACAGAGCCAACCTCTGTCTCTCTCCTAGGGCTGAGCTGCCACTCTGACTCAGTGACCTGCATGAAGCACCTGCTTCCGGAAAAGTTCTTTTTTGGTGGAACTGGTGTTTGAACTCAGGGCTTCACACTTGCAAAGCAGGCACTCTGCCACTTGAGCCATACCTCCAGTCCCGGAAATGTTCTCAGTGGCGTGGCCTGTCCTGTTCCTATTAGAGCTGCCTGAGACGGGTCCACCCAGAATGGAAAGGCTGCCACCACTGATGAGGGGAGGGGGTGGGTCAGAGGTGACCTGCAGCCTCTGAAAGACCAAAGGGCAAGGATTTGTTAGAGTGGAGAAGGAAGGGCAGCTAGTGACTTCTGCAAAGTCCACATGCTGTGAGCAAGATGAATGACAGCAGTGCCCAGTGGCACCACCTAGGTATCAGCCGTGTTTCAGGTGTCTTTCTTGCAGCAACCCCTAGCAGAGCATTAGGGTCTTTATTCCCGTGCTCCATATGAGTCCTGCTCAAAGGTTAGGGAGCACAGCCAATATCATAAAACCCATGAGTGACCCAGCTGGAATCCCAGATGCCCTGCTATGTCCTTTCTCATGACCTCACAAGCCAGCAGGTTGGGCAGTGTAGGCTCCTTTACACAAGAGGAGCCAAACAAGGATTGAGCAACTCTGAGACACCTAGTGGGTAAGGGGCGGGGCCTTCCACTATACCCACTGCCACTCCTTAAAAGGTACAGTTCTCCAAGCACTTTCTACACGCGTTACCTCATGTAATTCCACTCTTGTGAGGCAAGTGTTATTTCCATATGGTAAGTGAAGAAACCGGTTCAGTGAAATTGACTTGCCCAAGGTCATGTCTAAAAAGGGACATTGACAAATATGAACACAGGTGGGGGTCTGACCTTAACCTGGGTGCATGTGGTGAGCTGGCAGAGGCCTGGGGCAGAGCTCCCCCTCCTTATAAGGTGCTTAGCCAGCAAGGTGAGCCTGTGGCCTGGCCACAGCTGTCCCAGGTTAGCAGTCTGTCCAGGAGGCTGTTGGTGGCTGTGAGTCACTAGCTGTGAGCCCAGAATCCTAAGGGTGATCCTGACTAATTTCACGCACTGACCTCACCAGGCATTCACTGCTGTGTGTCGGCATCCCCATTGTGGCCTCTGGTGCCCTGGTGGCTTCAGGGCTGTGGGCAGTTGAGTAGCTGAATGCCTTTAATCACCAGGTAGGGAAGCCCAGGAAAGGGGGCAAGGCAGAGGGCTCTCCCTCAGCCCCAGGAAATCCCAGGGTGTGGAGAACCTGTGTTCTCCTGGTGTGAGTTTCTCCCCCTGGCCTGGAGGCCAGGAGACCAGGGATGGAAGCTCCTTGGCTTTTGCAGTCCTCACCTCTGTCCCACAGGGCCAGTCACAGGAGCAGTAGGGTGACTGAGATCCCATCCAAAAGGGACACTCACCATCAGAAGCGTTAACACTTAGAAGCAGTTGGAATGAACGGTGGTCACTAACACAGGAGGAAAAATGACTACATCCAGAAGGAGCTTGGCCTCCAAAGACCCGAGAATGGGCTGAGGTGGTCCCTGAACTGAACTGGCATCAAAGGAGTGGGAGGAGAGCTCAGGTATCCTCCAGCCTCCCTTCTGAGGGCTCAGGAAGGAGAGACTTGCCAAATGGCGCACCCTTGGGTAGGGCTAGGATTGGATCCCAAGCATGCTGACTTCTGCCAGCCTTAAAACAATGAGGCACAGCCTTTCTTCACTGCAGAAGAGGTGAGGGCGAGGCACTGTGTCTGTGAGGAGGTTGAAGCCAGGTCCAAGACCTATCCAGTCAAGAGGATGTTGGTGGTGCTACCACCACTGCTCTTGCAAGCAGTCCCTGCCTGACCAGGGGCCCAGGGCCAGCTTGGCCCCCATCCCAGCCACCTGGGGAAAACTTTCCAGAAAGTGAAGGCATTTCTGGCCAGGCTGCGGAAATCCCTGATGTTCAGGCACATTTCTGGGCTGGGCAGAGCTCAGAAAACAATGGCGTGGCTGCGTTCTTGGCGGGCAGGATGCTGGGTGGCGTGCTGCCGCGGTTCCTCCCCACTGCCTGGAACCCCACCAACCCTGGGAAAAGGTTTCTCGCTGACCCCGGGAAACCTGAGCCTCTGGCTGTTCCAAGGAGCCTCACCTCTCCAACCCTTTGGAAACTGGGAGCTACTATCATTTATTCCACAGTGGTGAGAGCAGGGCAGGAAGAATTACATCTGGGTTCAAATCCTACCTTTGCCACCTGCTAGCTGTGTGACCTTGTGCAAGTTGCTTCAGCGTTTGAACCTCAGTTTTCACACCGGTAAAATGGGGGTGATGATGGCTAGCACCCTCTGAGGGCTTGTTACCCATATCATCTGAGTCCTCACAACAACCTCCAAAGGCAAAGACTATTATTACTATTTGACAGGTGAGGAAAAGCAAAGCTCAGAAAGAGTAACTGGTTTAGAGTTGGAATTCCAACTCTGATGTGTTTGATTCCAAAGTCCATGTCCTTGCTCACTCATTAAACTGCTTTCCCTCTGGGGACCATTTTGGGCCCCAGTTGCACCCCTGCAACTGATGTCCTGGGGAGGATCAAGTGCACAGCAGGCAAAGCACTATTAACCCAGGTAGAGCACCAGAAGTGTTAGGAGCTCTGTCTCCTCCCTCTCCAGCTTCCCCTGCTATAAGCTGGAACTGGAAACACAGGGCTTCCAAGGTAAGGCCCCCAGCACCCCATGGGAGGGGTAGACTGGGTACCAGGCTTAGGATTTTACATTTGGGCCCTGTGCCTACCATGCCTTTGCCTCATCCTGTTCCAGAACGGGGCAACCCTGGGGAGCTAGAGATGGTGACCTTACCCCTGGACAATGCCCAGTAGAATTTGCCCTGGATGCTGGTTCTTCATGTCCTGTCACGTTTGAGTGCCCACCACTGGTGGCCATGTGCCGTGAGGGATGCCTGAACATCCTTTGGGAGCTGGTTACTTATTAGGGGTAAGCTGGGTCCCAGCCTGCAGCCAGCATGCAGGATACTAGGCGAATGCTGGCAGGTAGCTGGCTAACTCTGACCTCTTCCTTCTTCCGATTTCTCGCACAGAGGCTACCTAGTATGGGTCCCTTTGTGCCACACCTCCAGACACTCCTGCTTTGCTTTCTCTAACCTCCCACATCCACCTGAGGTAGGGATTTCTGTTTCCAAGTCACTTGTAAGGAAACTGAGGACCAGAGAGGTGGCATGACGTGTTAAGGCTATGCCCTAGGGACTGGGCCCAGTAGTGCCTGACCCAAGCCCCTGCTCTTCTCCACACTCCTCCCTCCAGGACAGTCTGTGATCAGAAGGCTTCCAAATTCTTTGTGTCCCATGTGGAAGAATCCATGGCAGGACACCTGGTGTAAATGGAGTTTTTTTAAAAGTTAGGGAAGGAAATTACAAAAGGGAGTATGGTGGGCCCAGGTGGAATCTGGAGGCAGAGAGCGTGCTTCCCCTCTCCAGGTGCTTTTAAAACCTACGCTAACCTATGGGAAGGGAAGAACCAGGAGATTCCCATCCAATAATCAATGAGTAGGGAGAGGCATGGGTAGTCCCTGAGCCAAGAGTGGTCAATCTGAAATCTAATATTAAGTTACATATTTTCTATGAGTCCCAAACTTTCCCCAATTCTAGCCTGCCTCAGAAGGACCTCTATTCTCACACCAAGAGTGAGTATCCCACCCCTGGAAGAAGGCAGAAGATTCCTTTTGTCAGGACCCACTCTTAAGGTCAGACTTTCTCTCCTGTTCAAAAATGCTGCCTCAGCCAGCAAGTGGCACTGTGGGCTACTGGTGTAGCAATCAGAGGAGGACACAGTCCCTCTAAGAAAGGAGGCCAGGGCAGAGGCTGAATGGTACCCCACAAAGGGGCAGAGGCAGGCTTTGATGGGGGCCATGCAGACAGATCCACCTGTCTTAGTGGAGCCTCATTTTTCTCGTCTCTGAAATGGGAGAACGACATGCTCCTTACAGTTCACAGATAGGCATGAGATAACAGATGCAATGTTAGAGTGTAATGCAATTAGGCCGTAAGAAGCCTATTAATAGCTTCTGCTCTTGTTGTGTTAGGCATGTGTTCTCCTTTGCTAGGGCTGCCAAAACCAAATGCCACACACTTGAGGGCTTAAGGAACAGAAATTTATCTTCTCAAGGTTTTTGGAGGCTGGAAGTCCAAGATCAAGTGTTGGCAGGGTTGTTTTCTTCTGAGTCTCTGTCCTTGGCTTGGAGACATGGCCTTCTTGCTGTCTTCATGGTTTTTAATTTTTTTCCCCTCTGTATACACAACTTTCATGTCTCCTTGTGTGTCCAAATTTCCTCTACTTCTATTTATTTATTTTAGGGTTTTTTTTAGCCCAAGCTGACTTTGAACTCACAATCCTTCTGCCTTGGCTTTCTGAGTGCTGGGATTACAGGCCTGCATCACCACCCTTCAGGGCCAAACTTCCTCTTCCTGTGCACCCTCTGTGGCCTAATTTTCACAGAATCACCTCTTCTGAGGGCCTTTCTCTAAATACAGTCACATTTTGAGGAACTGGGTGTTGTGGCAGTTTCAACACACAAGTTTTGGGGGGTGGGTGGATCACCATTCAGCTCATGACACCACACACATTGCATACTTTAACAATAAAGGCTGCAATGAAGAGGTGCTGACCCTTTCCCAGCCATCCCCAGCATAGTAACTCATTTACTTCGGTTCCACTTCATGATGAGGACAAGGCGCACAGAGCTGGCTTTCAGTTGTGCCCCAAGGTGCACAAGGAGGAAGGGACAGAGCAGGATTGAAACCCAAGAGCCTGGCACCTTGACTCGGGGTGGGGGGGGCCCAGCTTCTCTCACCCA